TCGCAACTAGATCTACCGCATCTCGATGCACGTTCTTAAATGGCCAACAGCGGTGAACTGATCGTTCTATGTTGATGCCACTTTCCGCCGTACTTGGATGGCTTAGGCCTCCGTTACCCAGAATGGCTATTTACTACTACCGCTGTCTCTCATACATTGCAGAGGCGACATCGCATACGCGAAAATTGTTTGACCGTTCTTTGGCAGATTATTGTACCAAATCGTTTCATATTGTCACGTACTTCATCCATTTTGCTTCATTGGCCTCAGTGGCTTGTACAGGTGCCTCGCGCTCAGTGTCAAAAGCTTCATTTACTTCCGTTTACGCTTGAGGATAAGGTTGTGAGCAGTGCGTCCAGAGCTGAAAGGTATCGGTTTTAAGCGTTATGGTCTACAACTCACGGCTGGTGAATAAACCATCAAAGTACTGGAACCCAAACGTTTAAACATTTTGTTTGGTACACTGGGACCCTGAGGTCTTGTGTATTTCTAAATTGATCCGTTTTCTCCTGTTACATACTTACGCATTTATTGTCTTGTGCTTGCGTTGCTACTCAGTTCCGATGTACACGCTGTATTCAGGTTACACAGGTTGGCACCCGTCTATTCAAAAAAGCACTGTTAGTTAATTAAATCCTAAATGTTGTACCATAGTTCTTTTCTGTAACTAGCTAACAACGCTGCATTGCGCTTTACTAGTCTGTTCATAGATCCTTAATCCACTTGATGGATTATTCTTTCGCGATCTCCAACAACTGTCTGATGTAACACCCATTAATTTAATGGACTTTTTATGTAGCCTTTAGCTTACTTGATAATTCCCCTGTCCGTATTTGTCTCCTCTAAGTCCCCACATGCTTCTTGACAGTTTACTCTTTGCCATAAATTGCAAGGTACCTGGTTAAATCTTGGGCTGTCGCTCGTCCTGGATTACCTGCGTCGACTCTAATCATGCTTTGATACGCTCTTTTTTTCGTGAACTCTTTCGGGAGGCGTGCCAAGCACCTTCGTTGATTGGCAACTATGAAGTTATCTCAGTCCTCAATCAAACCAACCTACCAGAATGCTCAGCGTAATGAACTTTCGCTCTCTCACCCAAACAACACTATATAGAATAGAATCTCGGCCGCAATGCACGATTCGGGCACACTTTCATCACCGCACCAGTTACTGGATGTCAGAGTTGTCAGTGAATCTATTGTATTCCAGAAGAAAAATCCCGGTTAGCTCTGAGCACAATCTAACCAGACAGACTATTAGGCGCGAACTCAAACGGAGCATGCGTATTGACTTTGAATCCTATTGGACTAGTAGAGTTTAAGAAATGGAGGAAGCGGGAGCGGTAAGCAAATATTGCGAACTCTTCCAACTGACCTGCACCACTGGTTCGTGGAAGCCAGGCATCAGTGAGATAATCAGAGAGCGCGCGGGTGCCTCGATTCACTATGAGGAGCGCCGTATGGCTGCTTGGGTGGAGCACTTTCGTGATCAGTCCAGCTTATCCCTTACTCCCGGACCTCTTCTTACTCAGATGGTACAGTCTGAGCCATGATCGGTTCCATTGGCGACTGAGATCAGAAACGCAGTCGCAGCCCTTCATCGTGTTGGGGCTGCAGGCCCGGATTTCACTGCATACGCACTTTATGATGTTGTTGTTGGGGTGTTCTACAAAGTACTGACCCACCTGTTCGAACAGGTCTGGAAGGGAAAAGTTACCCCAGCTAACTGGAGTGAATCAATCATAGTGGCCATCTATAAGAAAGGCAGTTGCACCGACTTCGCGACAAGAGTGCTAGTCTAACGCTGGTGTTAAGAAAATTACCGGCATCATTCTCGTTCGTCGCCTCACTGCGGAATGGAAATTCCTGAATAGGTAAGAACAGACAGGTTTCCGCCCGGAACGGTGGAAGGTGCTAGAGCAGCGCCACGCATACCGCAGACCGACAATAGCTATGTTCCTTGAATTCAAGTATGCGTTCCTCTCAGTCGATTGATCCATTCTGTTCGAAATACTTGCTCGGGAAGGTGTTCGCATGAAAAATGTGAACATTTTACATGCTCTGTACTCGAAGACTATAGGCCGCGTCAGGGTCTACGGTGGTTTGTCAGATACCTTTCCGACAACTAGTGGCGTTCGTCAGGGTTGTCCGATTTCCCCATTATTGTTTAGTTTCGTCCTGGACTCTATCATGGAGTTTTCCCTTGCGGAATCTCACGATGTAGTCGTTGTGGTCCTGGCTGGTGAAAGGTTAGTTGATCTTGATTATGCGGACGATATTGTTTTGCTTTTTAACGATGGTGTGGCAGCGTAATCAACTCTGAATAAACTTTTTAGAGTTGTCCCATCATTTGGTATGCGCTTCGAATTTTCAAAATGCAAATTGTTGATGCAGCACCACCAGCTACTTGTTGCTCTCTTGACCCTTGATGGCAAGGAACTCGATGTGGTTGATCAATCCACTTACCTTGGCAACTCTATCAGCAACGATGAGCGCATAGCGACTGAAGTCAGTTCACCCATTGCAAAAGCTAGAACTGCCTTCTTTGAATCTGCGACATGTGTGGCGTCAGAAATGGAGTTTGCCTTGTTTCAGAAAACTTGGTAGACGACCGGTTAATGTATTTATGGTGATGGACAACGTTTCGCTTTTGACACAAAAGCTTCATCAGGCGAAGTGAATTTTTAAGATAATTCATTTCGCCTGATGAAGCTTTTGTGTCAAAAGCGAAACGTTGTCCATCACCATAAATACATTAACCGGTCGTCTACCAGGTTTTCTGAAATGATGACTTCCCGATCGGTTCCAAATATGTTCCAAGATATGGAGTTTCCCTTGGTTTGAAAAGCCGTTTTTACAAGGCCACAGTGAGAGCCCTTCTACTCTATGATAGTGGGACTTCGATCTGGGAAGCTGAGATGCTTTCATGCCTAGTCATCATTGTCTGCGAAGCATTACTGGTGTCGGATGGCAGCAGTGTGTCTGCAAAGATAGTTTGCGTAGGCGAGTGACAATTAGGCTAGTTCCTTTTGAACAACAGATAGCGCTGAACAAGTTGCATCGGCTTGAGCACCTAGGACGGTGCAAAACTCCAGGCGGGCAAAATTTAACTTGCTAGCGGGATGTGAAGTCACTGATTTAAAAATTGGATGCCATTGGTCCATTTCGCATCCCAAGCTGGAGTCCGCGTGACCCCCCTTGTGCTTGGCTCGAGACATTACAAGATATGACTCGCAGTGGACACCAGTAGCGTGTCTGCTGTCATCTCCTGGTCGAACTGCCTTTTTACTTGTGTTTGTTGCGGTGTTTACGGCTTGGTAATAACTGCTTATTCTACGGAGCAGTGCAGGCCGCAAGGAAGCTATCTTATCGATGCCGCATTGTCTTCGCACAATAGCCATCTTTTTGTGACGGTAAGTTGTTGACAAGGTGCAGACACCTTGATCCCGAAAGTTTGTTTAGGTCATTAATGCTTTACGGTAAATTCTGTTTCTCTCCCTCTTATTCTTCTACGTTGCGTAGATCTTTGTTGCTGTGCAACAGCGACGCACCAGTTCAAATATCTGATGTAATACTGTTAATGATGTGAGTTCCTCGTTGTGCCATAGATGAGGCCTAACTGTGTTTCTGTGTACTTGTCATCTTCTACTTCCTGTCTCTAACAAACGCAGTCGGATTGTGAACTTATTGGGTCGAGTCAGCTGTATTGCACACTTTATCAGATGACCAGCGGATGCACTGCACATTTCTTCGGTTCTCAATCTATCAGACATGTACAGTGGGAAATCTGCGTCATTCGGTCACTACACTTGAAACCAGTGACAACACCTTACTTTTCTGCTCGCTGTATTCTGATGAACGCTTTTGATTTATGCACAAGCACCACTTAGTTCGCCAGGTGGTGACTTGCGACACCTCCTGTAGCTGCAGGGGAACTAGCTACATTGAGGGACAACTGATCTGGGAGACAATCAATGAGGCCACTACAACTTTAACCAAGAATGTCCACTGAATCTTGGGGATATCTCATTGTAGTATATCACTTGAAGTTGTCACGATTTCCAACACCTAACATATGCAACATTAACACAGGGGTTTGTCCTGTGTTATTTTCTGCTTGTGTTCATCTCATTTATTGAAGAAATTCGGTGCTAATTAGTCGAAGTTGTTTTTTTCTCGGGTTACGTTGTTGTCTACTACTAGGAGAGGCGTTCACCAACCATGACTTGTCGGTATTTCTATGTAGATATCGCCCCACTTAAGGGTTAATGACATACCAGATGCCCCACTGCCCCCACGAACACCTTTCATCATCCTCACTCCCATGTTACTAGACTGTTCTCTGGCATATCCAAACTCTGGTATGCATCAACTTGCAAAATCGACTAAGTAATAAAATAATAAATAACATAAATCGCCATCAGTACGCCGTAATGGCGCTTCGATGCCACGCGCGTGGGCTGAGTATACCGTGAGGACGCTCGCCCCTACGCGGATTCGAACCAGTGACCTTATGATTGCAAACCAGACGCGCATGCCACTTGGCCACCGGCCGACTGCTTTCTTCCATTTTTATCTTAATGCTAGATCCCATGTTTCTCATTTCCGACTTATTTCTCAGCTTCTATCATTCATATGCGCCCTTTCGTCATGTGGTTTTCATTTCAACATCCTCCGAAATCCTCCTTTGATTCTTCATCATAATCGCCATTCGAATTGACTGTGGATTGTTACTCACACTATGTGCCCACACTCAGCTTGCGCGCTGCTATTCCCCGGTCGTATTGGGGTCTTACTTTGCGATCTATCGGAACAACTAAGTCAGGTAGCGCGTATCGTCCAGGATCTTGTGTACCAGTGCTTTCATGCGTCATGATTCGTATACTTTACTATCAGTCCTCATTGACTGGTATGCATGTAGGTGATGAATATTACAAATGTATCGGTTTTTATCCATCTTTTCGCATTTCATCATCCTTCCCCCACCCTTGAATTCAACAGATGAAGCAGCCCATGAGTCGGTGACGAAATTGCATCGAGTACGTTCGAAGTTGGCCGACATCATCGAGCAGCAATTCGAACGTGCAGCCCAGAAGGGAGATACGCGTACGGTTGAACGATTTTGCAAACTTTTCCCCCTGATTGGCCGACATGATGATGGTCTGAAGCGGTTCGCCGATCACCTCTGTGCTGTGATCACCAAAAGATGCAACGGATTCATCGGTGTCGCATCCCCCTCAGATGTGGGCCCTGATGCGGAGGCAGGGAGCATAACTGGCCACCTCGACCTGTTAACACAGATTTTAGAATACATTGCGGAGACGGTTCGAGACAACCAGGTCTACGTGGAAACATATTACGGTTAGAGTGCATTTGTTCTTTTTTGGTTTGCTTGCCTGGGTGTCGGTAGTCACTCCGTTTTAGAAGTCGCAACTACCTTGAAGCCCGTGATTCCATTTGTTCATGTGTCCCTTTGCTTATGACCCCTTTCACTGCACCAATATTGATTGTAGTGCGCTGTCAGCTCATTGTATGCAACTGTTTATGGCTCCTCCATTCTGCACTTATGCGCGACCATCCCGTCAAGTTCAGTTCCTTGAATCTGCAGCGTTTTCCGCTTGGAGTTTTATATGACGTCACCTCTTTCTATCGGATCTATTGATTTGCGGGCGATTTCTACTTTACTCGATGATCAGGACTACTAGTCTTGTCTAACTGATTGGTTTTGGAAGCGAAACCAGCGCAACTAAGTACCAACTATCTTGAAGTGGTTCAATAGCTAGATATTTGGAGCAGATCCGTCGTGCCACCTCTCTACGGCCATCCTCACTTTGACTGCTACGATTTTTTCGCTTAATATCAATAGTTTTATCTCTTTGGATGTAGCGCTTCACTGGATAAACGCGAACTCCCTACTGAATGGGAAACTACTGGTTCCAGCTCATTTGAAGGACTGTTGTTGACTTTCGTGCCAGTTATGCAGCAGCCATTGCATGGTACAGCGGAATTGTTTGTTGGCCGTACAGGCGATCCTGTTGTATGCAATCTGAACAAGTCTCACGTATATGAAGTGTTTGTGTAGTAGTGGTGTCTTCATCCGAAGATTGTTTCACGTCGTATAGGTGTGATGGCTGCATACACACTTAAAGACCAATAAGTAACTGAGGGTTCGGCATTGACTTGAAAAACGATTCCACCTCTTTTTTCTTTATTACTGTTATAATTGCGTAAAGCCTGATAATATTGTCACTGGCACCGCTGGAGCACGCTTAAGGTAACGGCTTGGAACGCTGGCCAATCGAACGGACTTGCGCTGACCTGATGGCGTTAGCTTAGCCCGGGGTGAGACGGGAATTGAGCGAGCGTGTGAACGATCTTAGCCACACGTATTCGGGTAGACGCTGAGCCCCCGGAACGGACGCACACGAGGGGGGGGGGTTACGGTAGACGCCTGCTACTGACTTAGACGCGAACGCTGCCCGGCTAACGACGCACACAAACTCACGTGACCGACCGACTCTCAACTAAGGCGAAGAGGACGCAAGACAGGTGGTTCTCTGAAGGCTCTTTTACGACCAACAAAAGGCGAATCACAGCCAATGCAATGGGTCATTAAGTTAGAGAAAATTACTACCACAACGGGGTGGTAGTTTGTAAAAGACCATTGTCAAAATATGCGCAGTTGGGCCGCGTCTCGGAGTGACTGAAAACTGCTACGTTGTGGGGAGGAATTGAACCCCGCTTCTCGCAGCCATTATGCCGGAGCTTCTGGCGCGTTTTTGCGGGGATATTTGACGGGCCCGCAATACCTCCCTTTGAAGAGAAAGCGTACCGCTTCTGACGAGGAATGACCTGAAGGGATTTCGGCGACCCCCGGATTCTCCCTGTTCGTCAGCAAGGCGGGTTCTCGAGACGCGGCGACGATTGAGCGGCCTCGACCGTGGTCTCTCGTTGTGTGGCCAATCCGAAGGTATCCAGCAGGATGTGCAGCGGCAGGCGCGCAGGAAGGCTGTCTGGCGTGGCGGTTTCTCCCTGGCGCGGTCGAAGTTGATTGCGATGGCGAACCCACGTGTCATCACCCACGGAGGCATCATGCAGCATGTCACCTCGCCTGGCCGTTACTGTTGCTATGATCGAGCGTGGATGACCTGCTCGATAATCGCGTGCGTAGACCGGGGCTCCAAGGAGGAATTCTTTGTGCTTGGCACAGTCACTAGAGTGACTAGGTGGCTTTTCAGTCGGAATGAGCGCTTCGTTGGTGGTACGTAGCTTGCGGCCCATCAATGCTTCAGCTGGTGACTGGCATCCTGGCGTAGCTGGATTCGGTGTGGACCGGTACTAGAGCAGGAAGGGTTGAAGACGCTCATCGACGGTCCCCTCTCCGCGAGATTTCAAACGCGCCCACTTGAAGGTGTCGACAAATCGCTCCGCTTGACCATTGGACTGGAGATGGCAAGGCGGTGAGCGGAGGTGTTGGATGCAGTGTCGGCGAAAAAAGTCTTCGAAGATGGAAGACGTAAACTGGGTACCGTTGTCGGACACCAAAACCTCGGGAAGGACATGTTGACTGAAGACTCGTTGGAGACAACCCAGAGTGGCGGATGCGGTTGGTGGGTTGATGGGGACCACATCTGGTCATTTGGAATAGATGTCGACCATGACCAGATAGGAAATGCCATTGGTGGTACCAGCGTGGTCAATGTGTACTCCGGGACCACGGTTTTGCTGGCTGGTGCCAAGGAACCGGTGATTGGTGTGGTGGTATCTTTGAGGCTTGTTGATAATCCTGGAACACGGGGGCGGACTGACTGGCTTTGTCGTCGGTTCTGTTGTTTGGTACTGCCGAAGAATATATTGCATTGCAGAGAGCCCGAAGAGGAAGATCGACCAAGCCAAGGGTTTCGAGCCAGTCGGGACCAAGCATGTTGAGGTTCGCTTTCGTGATGTAGCAGATCGCGTTGAATGTGGCACCCCGGAAGGAGACGGAGCAGTGCAACTGCCCAATTAGCTGCACTCGACCACCACAGGCGCTAGTGGCAGCTTGGGATGTCGGTTCCAACGGTGGCTTGCCAAGGGATCGCCAGAGATTCTCGGAGATGATCGTGATGTCTGACGCAGTGTCTAACTGCAACCGGACGGACTGACCGCTGATTAAGACGTCGACGAATTTTCTCCGATCCGCAGCATTGATCTGGAACGTGGCCAGCAGTCTCAGGGAGCTGTTAACCGGACCAGGTTTGGGTGTGCGTTATGGTCGGGACCTCTTCTTTGGATCGTGGGTGTGGGGCAGCCCAGTTTTGGCCCCCTTGGGAGATGTAGGATGGCAGTAACCATCCCAGTGACCCACCCTGCCACAACGTCGACAACGATGCTGGCGGAAATTGCAGTCCCAGTGGAAATGCCAGGCACCACAGAATTGTCAAGCGTAGGGTGGAGACTGCGCTCGATCGTATTGGGTGAGGCGCGCGGACGATTGTGCCCTCGATGCGGGGACTGCCTGGACCATACCAGGTGCGGCGGCGTTCTGGATCATGGCTGAATCGTGCTTCAGCTTGAACAGCGTTTGACACCTCAGCCAAGTTTTGGAGTATGACTGAGCTATCCAGTTGTCGCTTGAACAAGAGGCGCGTCCGGATATCGACATCGTGTGGAGACTGGAGGCTAGAGACGAAAATCAGGCATTTGAATTGGTCCTCGGTGACCGAGCCAAGTTGAGAACGTTGGCATTCACGGTTGACCACGCCCACGTACGTCCTGAAGCCGTGCGCGCTATCGCACTTTGCCTGCTGTTTTATGGTGCAGCCGTTAACCTTGCGATTGGGATCGATATGTTGTGTGTGGATAAGCTTCAGACAGCTAAGCTCCAAGCAATGACCACGTGCGTTTTTTCTAGCATCATCCCTTCTGCATTGTTTACTCGAACAACCGAATTCAGTTTCTGGAATTTCAACACACAAAGAGCATCTTTACTTTTCGACTACCTCCCTTCGATGCTTATTATCCGTTGCTTTTTCCCACTTCAAAGTTTAGCAGCGTATCAAGTTTGAAAACTCACTGTTCATGTTGTCATTGGTATTCGGAATTTACTGATCGTTTATCGCTTACTAACTTTCATTTTTTGTATTGTATGTTTATGTCCCGGCAACAAGGTATTTGTGCCCATTGCATATAAGCACTAAGTCATCATTTTTATACTAAACCTCCGGTGTTTGCTGCTACACGAATTCGAACTGTCACTTTCGGACTTAGTGCTTCCAAATTGCCAATATCTATAGGCCTTCACCGCGCGGTTTTGTCTCAGTTCGGTAACCGGAACGCGGTGTATTTAACTGACACGAAAGACATCGCTGGGATGATACTAATTAACAGCGGCGAGGGAAATGACACAGGACGTCAGTAGGGTACGATGGTTAAAAACTAACCGAGTTAATGTGGTTAGCACTTACGTGCGAGAAACCGAGCGCAGGCGCATCATTGAGTACGCGATCACATCCTGTCCCCTATATGATCTCCGGTCACCAATGTCGCCCATCCCGAGGCCGCAATTCACGAAGACAGCTAAATGGCGTCTTTCGATCAATTTCTTCGTTTATGCTACATCATCTATTGACAACCACAATTCGCGGCGTTAATTGCAGTGATAGCATACAATGAACGCCGAAGAAAGTGGTCGTCAATATACGTAGGGTATAGCCTAGCCAATGTAGGCGGTTCAAATCTAACAAACACCCTAGTGAAGTACAACAATACTTTTTCCCAAGCATCAACTGACGCGAACCTCATGGGAGTTTACCCGCTGTTCCCACCAGATTTGTGCAACACCTGGACTTGTCACCCATAGATCGCGATGAACAGTACCGATCGCTTTACCATTGGGCGACTAACATAGACTACCTTATTCGACACCATTCCTCTGCAAACTATGCACTGGAATTCTGACACGCTTTAAATGCATTGCTTCACGTTTCACTACTCTGAATAAAAATCCCATCTCCATTTTAATATCTTTGCTAGTCCTTCTCACTTGTTCTCATATTCCAGGTCCAGGAAGTCTATTTGACATAATGTCTTCTGTACAGAAAGAGTGCGACCGATTCGTCCTCGCTGTCTTGAAACGTTTTTGCACCGCACACCGTCTTTCCGAACTACTACGCTTCGTGCAACCCTCATTTACGTTTGGCTTCACTAGAAAAATTCAGCTCCCTTCGGACGCCCCAGGGGCGTCCACCGTGCCCGAAAGTGTTCAGGCAGAGCGAATACTTGCATTGGAATCCATAATAACAGAAATAGTGTTGCTGAATACCAGAGTCGAGTTGTATATTCGTTTCATGCGCCGTCGTCTTGTGGTAAGTCCCAAGTGCGATGCATTTTATCCCCTCCCTACTCCTCATCTTCCCACTTTTATAATCATCCTCCAGCGGATTGTAAATTTGTATGATCATATCTATATTTTGTTAATCAAGTCAAGTCAAAATGAGCTTTATGACCCTTGTGCCAATGATACGTAGTCTAAACTAAGTACGTCGTACGAAAACTAAACCAGAAACTACGAACAAATAAACCTAGACTTAACGCACGGTCTGGGCAGAAGAGTAAAACGAAGTATCCGGTAACCGTGGTTCTATAAGGCATATTAAATACAGTACATGATTTATGAATAAGTTTTGCAATCATAGTGTAAGAGGGTAGAAATTATACAGCGTGTGGCGGCGTACGAGTATTTGGGCAGTGTCACAATAACATACTCATATGAATGACCTTGTAACGTCAAGGATATGTCAGTGATCGAGTGAAAGGAATAAATATGCGATATGGTAAGACACAGTAAAACAATGCAAAATGAGCAGAATAATTAGGGAATAAGGATACCGTGTCATCATGTAAGCAATCCAGGTTGGGGGATACATCAAAATTCCTTTTAGATTTTACAACCCTGGTGGGTCCCTTTTCAGCATTTGCACCACCACTGTGGACATCTGGATGATAATATCAATCTACATACTGGTAAAGAAAAATGGGAAATATGCACAACTGTTATTCCAGCAGCCGCTTGCGCAGCATGTCAGTGACTTTCGCTGAGTTGACAAGCGAACGTGAGAGATAAAGCAAAACAGTATTACGATACGATGGCATGCGGGAGAATAAAATTCTGAATTTCGAACCAGTAGAAGAGAAAGGGAGCGTTTTGGAAAGATCATTGTGAAGGGGATGAAATCGATCAGTTAATGCCTTAAAAGCAAAATCATTGCAGGCATTAAGATATCTAGAAATGTTCAAATTAATTAAAGAATCTCTAGACAAGCTGCTGCATCTAGCAATTGCTTTATACCTCGCACCAATAAGATGTAGTCTTTCTGAAGCAGTCCAGGTAAAATGACAGGAGGGCAGTATCACCAATGGGGAATAATACAAGAGGTCATAAACCTGAATATTACAGTACGAGGTACTGAAAGCACCTTAACTTTGAAGGCATAAAAAGAAAGTTTTCTGACTTTCCGAAACGTTTTGCAGTCATGTGTGTACCGAGAAAGGTTCTGGGACTAAAAGACGCCGAGATACTTGACGGTGGGAGAGCTGGGTATGGGATTTTAATTCAAAGTAAGCGTGGGGGACATGTTTATGGGGGACTGCAACTTGTCACTGCAGTTAGAAGTATTAGGCGTAAGAGATCTGGCTGAAGGCTATTCTACCAGATCATCCAACCCACATTGACGTGATGAGGAGTCCTGGTTCATAGGGGCCATACATCCTAGCACAACATCATCAGCATACTTACACCCTATAAACGTGGTTTGTATGGGGAGATGTTCAACATACAAGGAAAATAGAAAAGATGATAGGATCGTTCCCTGTAGAACACCACAGTCGGCACGGAGGGCAGAGGATGTCTTACCGTTCAACTTGTTGAAGTGAGTACGACCCGTAAAATAGTCACGCAGTAGATTACATACACCAGGGTGAACTCCATTTTCAGATAGCAGGTTTAGCAACATTGATCTATCAGGGCTTCCAAAGGCATTCGAATAATCCAGGAAGAGAAGCTGTACGGATTGACATTTTTGATCCAATGCAGAGGCTATAGAATGAACAAGATATGCCACTGCATCCAATGTGGAGCGCTGGAGTTTATAAGCAAGCTGGTAGATATCGTCTTCAGGAGTAGCTGAAAAAATCCGCGGAATTAACAGTCTTTCGAAAACTTTTAGGAGCACAGAAGTACATGCAATCAGGCGACAGTGTTGAGATCCAATTTTTCGTACTAGTGATACTGACCGTTCTCCAAATGTCCGGGATCACACCCATAGTGAGACATTTATTAAAGGGATCTGCAGCAGCAGATCGATATCTGCTGCTTATCAGAGACCCGCCTGCAAGACTTGAGCTCTGTGCTCACTCTACGATCCCCTTGAGGTGACGCAAGCAGTATTTTCTCACTGCGCCTATCCGGTGACGATGCAGCTTCGTGCACCGGCCAAGCTGGTGATAGCATTGCCCTGACTCCCCGGGCTGAAGCTGCTCTGGTTGATTGGATTCCAATCAGTAGTCGGATGTGTGCGGTCCGATTGGCTGCCTCGTTCAAAGCTTCGAAGTCGCGCGGGACTAATAAGTGTCTATTCATCATCGCTACCTATGCGCCCACAAACTGTAGCAGTGATTCGGTAAAGAACGAGTTCTATCGCCAACTGACCCAGCTCCTTCGCAACAGAAGAAGCACGGACACTATTGTGCTGGCGGGGGATCTGAACGCACAAGATGGGAAGTTGTCCACTGATGAAATGCATCTGGGCGGTCAGCACGGTGTAGGCTCCCGTAATGATAACGGTGAGCGGTTACTTCATTTGTGTGAAGATGCTCGCTTATTTCTTGCGAGCACTAATTTCCGACACAGCACCCGCCGAAGGGTGACTTGGCGCCCACCAGCCTTGGGCGCAGATCGATCACATTGCTATCAGTTACCGCTGGTGATGCTACATCCAGACCTGTCGCTCGATTTGGAGCACATGTGTGGACACCGATCGTGCACTTGTATGTGCTGACATGCGGATGCGTTTTGGCGGACGCCCACGACGACGCTGTGAGCGCATTGACACCAGGCAACTGACAAAGTCATCTGTTCTGAATGCGTATCGAAGTACGCTGACATGCGAGTTGAGTAAGCGCTCACTGGAGACAATAGATGGTCACTGATCACATGTTCACCCGACCTTACTAGCAGCAGGCAAGTGCTCATGTGGTATATTTAGTAGCCAACATGGATATTGGGTCTCTTCGCGGTCTCTGGAACTTATCGACGCTCGCCGGCATATCCCGGCTGGAAGCGAACACAATGAAACTCGCAGAGTTCCGTTCTAGCCTGAAGAGAGACCGCAAATCTTGGTGGTCTCATCGTGCGTCGGAGATGGAATTGGCCGCTGCCCTTTGTAACCATCGTAAGCTATTTCGTCTGATACGGGAAGCGGGAAGCAGGAGACCTGGCGTTAAACTATACGTGACGAGAGTGGGCAGCCTATCCATAATTTGTCAAAACGTTTGGAGTCTTGGGCTGAGCATTTTGAAAAGCAATTTAATCGGATAGAATTTTTCGATTCTTCGCCGGCCAGTGATCGTTCTGCTCCGTGGGCTCTCCCTTTGGATCCACCCTCTCGCTCGGAAATCGAACGTGAAATCGGACTGTTGAAGTTGAACAAAGCCGCGGGACTTAGGGAAGGTGTGCCCGAGATATATGTAAATATTATCCAAGCATTATACGCACGTAGCACGGGCAGAGTGAGGGCTTACGGCAAGCTGTCGCCACCTTTCAATATCTCCAGCGGTGTGAGACTAAGATGCCTGTTGTCACCTTTCCTCTTCAACTTCGCTATTGACGAAGTCATGGAGATTGCATTTACAAGACATGACTTGGAAGGTGTGGAGCTGCTCCCAGGAGAACGACTTCTTGACTCAGATTGTGCAGACGACATTGCCCTCATCTGTGACAGCTCTCAGACGTGCCAAGCGGCACTGGACAGATTGGCACTATCTGTCAGCCGCTTCGGGCTTTGCTTTGCACCATCGAAATACAAAGCATTCCTCCAAGATTGACAGGGATCGCCTCCTGCGCTGACCGTTGGTGGGGATCAGCTAGAAGTCGTTCAGAAATTCAACTACCTGGGAAGTTGTATCAGCGCCCTTGTGATCGAAGACGAGATCACGAACCGCATAGCAAAAGCTCGAAGTGCTTTTGCTAACCTTTGCCACCTATGGCGGCGGCGCAACATCACTCTCGCCCTGAAGGGTAGAGTGTACAGTGCAGCGGTACGTTCGACCTTACTGTACGGTTGCGAAACCTGGCCCCTAAGATCAGCGGACATGATGAGGCTAGTTTCGTTCGACCATCGGTGCCTTCGCAACTTAGCTCGCATCTGGTGGGAACATCGCGTGAGCAACGAGCGTGTTCGACGCCTTGTTTACGGCACAGAAAAAGGAACTGAACCGCTCAGCACCGTCATTTCATGCACCCGGCTCCGATGGCTGGGCCACGTGTTATGCATGCCAGCTCATCGACTTCCACGACGTGCGTTGTTTGCTCACCGAGGATGTGGATGGAAGAAGAGGGGGGGGTGGCCAAGCGATGACTTGGTCAAGAGGAATGAAGACCCTCACTTCGGAGCTGGCCTCGATTGAAGCGTCGCGGCTCCCTGGTTGGGGTCCAAAAGACGGTGAACACGTTTGGCTGGATACACTTGCTGATATGGCAAGGAGCCGACTTCAGTGGCGTTCCTGCTGTGAGTTTCTTTGTCCCTCACTATCCTTTTCAGCCTCCCCCTCCACGTACGATCTCATTTCGTAACGTACAACATATTAATTTTTCTTTTTGCCTAGTAGCCGGCTAGTAGGTTACCGGAAGGTTGCCTATCCGTTGCTGGTAGCTCAGCTGACATGCAACAGTTGTATTTATTTTCCTTTTCCTTTATGTATTGCGGCACAGTAGCTGAGGTGTTTCCCACCTTTAGCTGACGTGTATAATGATGATGATGGAAAAGATCTGTTACAGGTAGTGTGAGAGAATCAGCACACTCCTTCAAACCTAATGGTGAGAGAGCATCCGTACCACAAGCTTTGTATATCTGTAATCTTTTGAGTTCCTTGTTAACGTTGCTTTGATGGAATGGCGCAGTTGGACTTGAGCTAATAAAGGAAAGTGAGCTTAATGAGGCGGAACTCAAATCCGAATTCAGTTTATCCACTTCACCGTTCTGGCTATAAATGCTCTTACCACAGAACTAACTCAAAAGCCTCCATAGATTGCGACAGTTATGGTTGCCTAGAACTGCTTCTACGTATAACTGCCTTAGGCTTTATATCTCGGATTCAATCGCCGTGGTTAGGCTTTTGACACCAGTAGCATTCTTGCACTTGTAAACCCATTCTTTCATCCTTCAAAATCGCTTTAGTAGTGGTGATGAAAATCTATCTGCTCCTAGATAGATCGTTTCAACAGGGCAACACATGTCAAAGCACTATTTGGATGTAGTCCGTAAGATGGTCACATTGGAGCGACAGGTCCTCGTCGTTGAAGACTGAAAAATCAGTTAAGGAAAACGGTTTCGCCGTTTGATAACACTGCAACACAAAATATTTATTTTCTATACCAGAAACGCCATTGTCCCTACCTTATGAAACGCACTCCACTGATCGTAGAAATGTATTTCGAGGTTACCTAGCACGTTAGGTTACAGTGTTATAAGCAAATGCATATTTCCAATAATGTTAAGGCTACGTCGTACGAATTATATGTAAGTGTACATATACAGAATGCATCTATGTAGCAAATACATTTAAAACATCACTGCAACACTCGCCGCCAACTACTGACTGCAGCTCGGTACTGGGGAATGATGACTTCGGCCAGATCGTCGCTTATACGATCCAGCGTCCTCACGCTGCAGAAACCAGGAAAAGTCACCCATCATAGAAGGCGTGTAGCGCCGCTCCATGACTGAAATGTCTTGGTGAAAGCGCTCACCATGTTCCTCGCTAACAAATCTGAAGTTCTCAGGGAAAAAGTCAAGGTGATTATGCAAAAAGTGCATCTTGAGTGACATTCGAGCACCAACAGCCCGCTAGCCCGCAATGAACTTTTTTGTTATGTCTTTATAGTTCTCGGCCTTTGTTTTGCCCAAAAATCCTGTACATACTGCTTTGAATTATCGCTACGCTTCTAACTCTATTGAAGTCAACTGGCATTCGAAAGCACTGTCTGCCATTACCCGGTTAATATCAGGCCCATTAAGTATCCCTACTTTGAACTTCGCATCACTGATCTTCGGAGACACTTGTTTCAGGTACTGGAACACAAAACCATCTCGCTTAAGGTCTTTGACGAAGTTTTTAATTAAACCAAGCTTGATGTGCATGGTCGGTAGATAGATATGATCAGGTTGCACAAGAGGTGTATGCTGTACACTCATTTTCCATGCAGCATACACCATCCTCTCTGGCCACTTTTCGGTTGTGTAGTGCTGTTGTGTTGCTCTACTGTCTCATAAGCACAAAGAAGAGCAATATTTTGTGAAGCCTCTTTGCATACACATTAGGAGTCCAATGACCTTGAAGTTAGCACAGATGTTTCATCGGTACTTATCATAGTTCAGTGCAGCGAGTAGCTGTTGCATACTTTCCTAAGTCTCCCTCATATTGGTAGCATGCAACAGAGGCACAGTTGGGTACACATTTCCATTGTGGAGCAGTATGGCCTTAAGACTACTCTTGGACTAGTCAATGAACAAACGCCATTCATCACTGATATGCTTCACGTCAAGCTAATGCATCAGTCTTTCCAGGTCGGGACAGTAGAAATAGGTTTCTCTCGTGTCACAGAAACCGTAAAAGTTAACACTTCGTTTTCTATGCACAGTAACCTTAGTGTTTGCAGAAAGTGTCACTGCTGCAGCCGAGATGCCAGTAACTCGCCCTTGTCTTTAGACAAACCCAAGTCACGTACCAAGTCATTCAGCTCTGATTGTTCAATAAGATGTGGGTTGACAACATCAGCTTCAAATTTTCACAGATGTGAGAATCAGGGGAAGTTGACGATGCGGAATCACTACTCATCATCAGTGATATGTTCACTGGGGACACTGGGATGGGTAAGGTACAATTATGAGGAACAGGTCGAATAGCTGATGGAAGAGCGGGTAATGAATTTTGTCCTTGTTTCCTTTGGAGATTCCAATGACACCGGTTAGGCAGAAGTAGCAGTCTGTCGTGTGGTCCTTCGGCTCCCTCCACACCATGGGGATTGCAGACGGCATCTTTCCTTTGCCTCTGAGCCACTGAGTCGGATGCAGGTTGCACGACACACAAATAATATGCGGCGCCCACTTCTTATCCTGCTCTCCAGTAGAGAAGCAATTAGTCTGCACTACGACTTTGTCGTAAACTGTCCACAGAAGTAATAAAAGTGTTTTCGGTGATTGACACAGCAGCGTCTTTCAGACATGATCAATACATCAATTGAGGAGACACAGCTCTCAGTCGGATTTCAGTATCAGGTGGGTACCATGGCCAAGAAGACTTCATTTCCATGATTAAAGGGGACCAATGGACCAATCGCAGGCGAGCATTCGATGCATGAAACGTACCGCTTAACTGAAATGCAACATTAACCCGACGTGATAGAAACATTTGTTTTGCGCATCCTTAATCAGCTAACTTGATACTACTAGAAACATCCTACCTCATTTCTGTGATGTTGCACAGGGTAATCTTGTAAGGACTTCTGCTCAGCGTTAAAAAATTAGACCTGCTGTATATTACTGGACACACTTTTAGAATACATTAGTCTGAGCTGCTCAAAGGAGCCCGTTTCTGTATGGAAAACAACTGTCGTTTATTTGTGAACACAGCATCCAACTGGGCATCTTATCTGATCGCAACAGTCATTAGATCTATCAAACCAATAGTCTTCAAGAATGTTGTATCCTTTCTATTGAAGTCGGCAGCAACAGTACAGATAGAACAGTCTGATTTAAGCAGTAGCATTGAAGGAACTTGGTCCTCAGAAAGCTTTAACTTCAGGAGCAATGTATATGGTTCCAGCAACGACTGATTTAAAGGCACTTCAGAACTTCCGCTTGCATTCAACTAAATGACAGCTTATAGGAATATGACGATTGCTGAGTTGCACCAACGTTGTATTATAACGCCACCACCTCGATACTAAGGCTTTCCGGGGCGGTCAGACCTGATGTGACAATAACCATCGAGTTGAATAACCCTATTATCCACATCAATATTCAAACAGCTTTCTTGTAACAGAGTGATTCACGTAGTGTGACGTACTAATTTCCCTGCATAATGACACTGATCACTGATTTTACCAAGAAGCGAGCGAACATGACTGGAAAGTATCAGTGGGACTTGCGCTTTATCGACAGTACAACGCCAGGCCAGATTACCAGTCAGCACGATGCTTTCTGTTTTTTTCAAGACATTTATTCCCAAATTGTTTGGAGCTGTTCCTGACTTCATGACTGTATTCTATGAAGCACGGGTTTAAGACAATAACGCGTAACGTTTACAACTGGTTGACAGAGTAGGACATCCTTGACCTTGAGACTTGGTCAGGAAAAAAACAAATTGCTTCAAAGATACAAATAAAATATATAATCCGCAGTCGGCAGTGTCAAATAATCCTCCAACGAGAATAGTAACGGCCGAATTTAATGGCCTAGCCACTGTGGCACCCTGCCAATTGTACGATGTTTAAGTGTCGGATATATATACATATATATATATATATATATATATATATATATATATATGTGTGTGTGTGTGTGTGTGCCCCATGCTGAGACTGATGTTGCATTCTTGATGCTTCTTCACTGCAGTTGGGCTAAACCAACTTACACTTAAACTAGGTCTTTTTAAGCTAAGTAAATTTCATTCCACTTTATTTGGTTTATTCTGCCTTACTGAATAATCTATTAACTGGCCACTTTGCTTACACTGATTGCACTTATCTTCGGTAACTTCGTTACGTTTGTAGCATTTTTAAGTAACTTGTGGATATCTGTTACTTATCGCGGATTCGTTGCTAACCAACTTACATCATATGGTAATTTAGGGAAGAGTTATGCCACCGTATCTGTATGCATTATTGGATTTATATTATTTCACCTTGTCGTTTCAAGTGATTGCCTGTTGCTTGATATCCTCGATGTGGCTGCGCTTGATGTGCATGTTGACAAGGTGCCGACCTGTCTATTACCCACTACCTCGTCTATACGGGCTCCAGGAGACAGTTGGTCGTTGCTGAAGGGAACGGGGTGCACGGTCCTTGTGGCTGTGCTTGGCTCGAAGAGTGGTTCCATGCACTCAGTGTGGAGCGGACTACGGTCCAGCCACCGCCTTGTGTGCGGTTGATTCCCCAAATACAGCGTGCTTGTGTTTGTCTGTGAAGGAGTGTGGGCCGGCTCCGTTGATGAAACGTGGCTCCCATCCGCATGCCTCCCGGTCTTATTCCTTTGGGTTTACACTGGATATGGAGTGTGTGGTTGGAGCTGTGGGTGGTGCAGCGCAAGCCATTCATGGTCCCTCTGTAGGCGCAGGCGTCCTGTGGCTGGCCACAGTGACAGGCAAATCCGAAACCGGATGCCGCCAACCATATATATGTATTGCCAATCCCCAGCTCTTCGGTATTCCTTTCTTGCGCATGTCTCACCTGCATCCCGCCTCATACCCACTTCAACAGAGCACAATATAGTAGTGGGTGAGTCTGTGGTTCTTCAAAAGGCATGTTACTATTTGGTCATCTAAGGTAGAGCAAAGGGGTACCACTCCGAGCGCACCCACACCGCAGCGTAGTAAGGCCGGGAAATCCCACCCATTGGGATCTGGTGCCCAATGTCTCAGTTCACACGCCTTCTGCTTGAGAGTTTACCTAACAGCGTCTCAGCCTCCGAACAATCCGGCACGCATCTGTTCTGGTGGTGGTTCACCGAGGCGAAGCAAGAGGCTAGTCACATCCTCCACATATTTGTAGATTTTTACACATCTTGGAACACTGGCGCCGAATCATTAGCTGGCATGGAATAGACCGGAAACACTCAGCTGCCGTTGCGAGCATGTAGTTCATCAGGCGAGCCCTCCAATATGAATAATTTCGTTTCACGTTACTTACAGTAATTGAACGCCATGAACCAATTACACTTTCACCGTTTCTATCTTCCACTTTCAGTCGGATGCTCAAAACGGATTCCCGACGGAAGAGGAACGACAAAGTGAGCACTTATTACCCTACTACTTAGCTGGCCCTCGGAATGTGGTGTCATCCCTCAACTTCCTCCGCACTGCTAACCAAGTCCCTGTTGCATTTTCGCTATTCAATAATGCTGGTGGATTCCCGTAATATTGATCACCTTATCTATTCTGACATTTGTGGAAGCGGACTTCTGTCCAACAGTGGGAGCGTTGTGATCTAGCGTAGTGAGATGGCTCCTTCGGTCTGGAGACCTCGGATGTCTTTGGCTACCGTTACCTACTAGATGTTGCTAGTATAGTGTCACCAACGTCTCCACAACAGTGAGACACGCTAAGCGACGGTGTTCAGTTCAGTTTATTGAACTACGGATAAGTAAGTGGTATTAATCTGGTGGTGTTGAACGTATGCCCGTTCACCACTTATTGAGGGTCACTAATTTGTTTACCGCATCTAGGATGACACAAGATTCGATAGAATCATTCATTTGCCTTCCAGTGGGAGATGAATTCCGTGTCTGTTAAACTGGGGACTGTTGATCTGTCTTACTTCCTGGGCTGGGGTCCTTGCGACCTGCTGTTTCTGGCTGGAAGCCATCACTTGTGACACCTTTGCAGCCGTCTCTTGATCGGATTATTTGTATAAGTTGTGTCTGTTCTAGAGCCATCTGCGAAGTAATGTTAATTATAACGAGTGCTAATAAATGCAATGAGGAGGCTGTCTCACCGGTGCCTCCCAATTCCCGCACAATGACTAGCTGTTTGTGGCTGTGCGTTGTTAGCAAGATGTGGACATCCTTACCTTGATTGTTTCTTGGATGTCCGATGTAAAGCGCTAGTGTAGTATTGTTGGATTTTTTAAACCAGGTCTGTTGTCGGTGTTCCGGATGTGTTAACTGACCTTCTTGATGATTTTTTAGTGTTTCTGCTTTCCATCTATTTTCTGCCGGCCCGTAGTCTAAAGGTAACGAGCTTGTCTCGTAATCCGACAGCGCGGGTTCGAGCCCGCGTAGGGATCGGGCGACACTCGCAGTATCCTTAACCCACGTGCGACCGGTGGTGGTTGCGCGGCAGCGGAGCGTCGCTATGCGTACCGGCGTACTGCTGATGACCTTCTTTCTTTTTTGCATTTTCCGCTAGCCATGTACACGATATCTTATACTTCAGTGTTATCTTGCTCCGTTTACTGCAGCGACACCATTCCGTCATTGGGAGCAGAAACGTCGAATTCTTTTGTAGGCACTGTCATTAGTCATGCACCATCTTTGTCCTCCGATCCATATAAAAGCTTGAGGTAGTTGCACGTTTTATCAAACATGTGTTGTATTCTTTAGACTTTGTGAAGCTCCTATGTGCGTCCCAAGAGCTAGTGCTTCCGCCCTGTTTGTAGGTCGATTGTGTGGGCGCTCAGTGTTTTACTGACGCATTTGCTGCAACTCACTTGCCTTCAGCGGAAGAAGTTCGTGTTTGTACTGTCATTTGCCATATAATGTTTATTGCTTTGCATTTCGCAATTTTCAAATTGCGCACTCGTGCGCATGAAGCTGTTTTATACAAACCCGAAATATCGTGCGCTTTATTCATTTTATAGCTGAAAGCGTGTGCAGGACGAGTCTGTTGTTGGCATTTTTATCCATTATACTCTTCCTGATCCTTTGTTCCTCTTGATGAGGCCCTGTATTTCCCGCACACCGTCCGTCTTTTGACACACTGCGCCTCTTGATGCCATCCAATTCTCTGTTATTTTTAGCCAAGCTTAAAGATATTTCACGGCTTTTTGACAACTGCCAAACGGTTCGACAGATGCAAGACCTCATTGGAGTGTATATCTCACTGGAGGGATACTATGTTCGCGAGATGATCCTCAAGGTGAGTAGTCGGCTGTACTGACGAATTGCGTTAGCAGCGCTCCCATCAGATGCAGTGCACACTTGACCACCCCACTTGGATTTCTGTGTGTCAAACTGATCTACTTCGGGCAGTTTATCTTATCTACATCTGCGATTTCGTATGCACTAGTTGACATGCACTCCACTGCTGTCACCTCCACACAGGCTGTTGGCTCGGACGAACTGGACGACTCGTCACCGGTGTTTCGATTTGCTGATGATGTCTTCTTTATCCTCAAGCAAAGCTTAACGTGAGTGAAAGTGTTCGAATATTTTTGTGTTCATTATTATTAACGTCTAGTTGTTCAACTCTCTTATTCGGAACGGATGGAAACACTTTTCACTGATGGTACTTCACGTGGAGAGTGTCCCGTTGCATTGGGCTCGATACGGTCTAAGAGGTCTAGTCACCAGGCGTGTACACACGAGCTGAGACAGCACGAACCGCTTGCCACCGCATGACTGCACTCGATATACAGAAAAAAGACTGGCCGATGGCAAGTATACATTTACTGACGCAACCAGAGGTGAACATGTCTTTCATACCCTCGCGCTTATAGTTCAGTAGCATGGCAGCGTAAGCGAAGATGAATAGGGAAGCTGAATATTAGGACGGCGCATGAGTTGCCACGTAATGACCGTGTCCTGAAGAGAGCTGCCTGAGATGGTAGACACAACGATGTCACTGAGAGGCTTGGTTAGGGTCTGCACAGTTTACGCTGACATATGGCAGCAATGTTAATGATCAGAATTTAGCTGCAACCTACGCAGTTTGAGTCGTCGCATCGCGACACTATTGCTGAGTGTGCCAGAGAGGAGAGCTCTGCACAGGTTTGGTGTAAATATGCGAGCTCTACAATACTCACGAAATTCTATGGTAGACGAATTCATGATTATATTTTTGTACAAATGGTAGCACGGAATTTTGTAGCATCGCTCGTCACCTCACGACCACGCTTGTCCGAGATCACACTACTTATTTTTCCATCCTACCTACCTATTAATCTCCTTGACAAACAGTCGCACTATCTCTTCCGGGAGCGTTGATGGCATTTGTGCGATGCTCAACCACACCTGTTCCATCTTGTTGGACCACCTTGTTACCGCCACACTCACTCCACGTGTTCGTGCTGGATTCCCATCCGGTTGGATGCAAAACGCTTACAGCTATGTGCAAAGCAGCGTGGCCGCTGGTGAGTTGGCGGTTGTTTTTTCTCACTTTTCGGTTCGGAGGATCCCATAGGTTCTGTCCATCTGACCTCCCTACCTTTGATTCGCTTTTTCCACTTCAGTTACACCAGCTGTAGCAACATCAGTCGTCACGTCTAACGCGAATCCCAACACATCGTCCGCCGCGGCTACATCTAGCCTGGGCAGCTCGGGAAATATCGCCAGGCATCAATTCTTGGTTACGCTGAACACTTTGGAGACATGTTCAACCAATTTAGGAACTCTCGTGACCAATGTCGATCGAAGCCTGGTCTCACTGTTTGCCAAATCTGACAACGCTGCTGCGTTGCAGAAGCTACAGGTACGTTCACGCTACTTAAGTAACCAGTGGCACCTTTCACGTTAGTTAACTCAGTGTCATTGGGGATCGGGGATTCTTCCTACTCCTCTTATTCATTTAGCAGCTTTAAAAAGTTCAATCTTCAAACGCAGTGATATGCTGATCCGCAGCGCCCATCGTCTGCTTGTAAGCATAATACTACCTAGTCAATGGTGCTCCCCACAGACGTACTTTTTCGCTTTTTTTCAGACTAAATCGTCCTAATATTTTACTGTTTTTCCGCCACATATATATTGTCTAAATTGGTCGGCCAGTGGCCGAAAGGATTGCACGTCTGGCTTGCTGCAATCCTTAGGTCACCGGTTCGAATCCGCGTAGGGGCGAGCATCCTTGCGGTATACTCAGACTACGCGCGACCGGTGGTGGTCGCGTGACAGCTAAGCGTCGGTACGCAGTGTGCTGGCGTACTGCTGATGACTTTCTTGACTTTTTTCTATTGTCTAAATACTATCAACTACTGTGGCTCTGTATTCAAACGCACGCATTTTGGCAAGGCCTTGTCTCCTGTTATTCGCTGTTCTCTTTTTGTACTACAGACTGGCCTTTAGTTTCACGGCGTCAGAATCGATCCGATAATCGAAATGACTGTGCTGTGCTTCAAACTGAACCGAGTTCGCAATGGAGTTTCTGTATCACACTCCAAGTGCACAGCGAATATTCCGACAACCCAGCACAAGAGCCAGTGCAGTGTAATTGGCAGCGATTGTGCCAATCGTCTTTGGAAGCGAATGAGTCTCAACATGAATTATTTGTTCTTTGGGGCCATTGGAGACGTGCGTCTGCACCGATCGTCTCACACATTACCGGACATTAGAACCGCCGACTCAGCGCCCATGCGTATCTGTAGTTCTGCACCAGGAAAGTGTAGCCTGCTCACCCACTGGGAAGTGGGTATTTAACCAGACTGTTGTTATACATTGCACAAATTGACTGGTTCTCATCGTCTGAACATCGCTTTCCTCAATAGCTGACGCCGATTCGAGTCTGACTGAACCGATGTTTTGTGAAAGCACTTAAAAAGCAACCGCATTTCATGGTGAAGTATTCCGATTGCCGTCCTTCATTCGACGTTACATCATGTCGTGTTTTGGACGCCGCGATAGACCATCCTGAGGTTTTTGTGTAGCCAACTACACACTGCGTCACCTGAACACAGCGTTTACTATCCATTCGCGGCACAGTCATTGAGGTGTTTTTCACCCCTAGCTACTGTGCAATATGATGATGACTGTAAAGACCAAAAGGAACTTTGATGTATTCCCCAACCTGGATTGCTTACTTGAGGACACGGTATCCCTATTCCCTAATTATTCCGCCCATTTTACATTGCTTTCACTCTGTGTGCTACAATCGGTTACCATATTGAACATTCATTCCTTTCACTCTCGATCACTGACATATCCCTAAGGTTTCAAGGTCATCCATATTATCCTCTTACTGTGACACTGCCTAAACTCCTGCACGCTGCCGCACACTTTACAATTTCTGCTCTAACACTACGATTGCAAAACCTATTCGTAAATCATGTGATTAATATAATTTTCCTTATAGAACCACGGTTACAGGATACTTCGTTTTATTCTTCTCCCCAGACCATGCGTTAAATCTAGGTTTATTGGTTTGTCGTTTTTAGTCTACTTTCCGTATGACCTACTTAGTTTAGGCTTCGTATCGTTGGTACATAAGTTGAATATTGCAATCATGTCCTTTTCTGGTGATTCTCTTAATGATGTTGACGCTACTGATTTTGAGAAGCACCGTAAAGCTGAATCCTGTATTCGTCTGCTGGAGTCGGTTTTAACGTGCATGCGCATGCTGTAGGCGAAGATGGTTGATGTTAGGAACTACTGCGAACCTGAATTTGAGTCGGGTGCGCTGGTTATTATTCCGGACGAAGTTGTTATCTGCTCGTCTTTTTTGAAGCCAATTTATAGAAGCCCTCGTGTGCCATGGATAGTTTTATTGGTTTGTTTGTCGGCAGATTTTGTTTTCCAACTTCGATCCCAGTCGGAGACATTTTTCTCCGACCTGCAAGCTGACAATAACCCGTGTCCGGAACACAAATCCAGTTGTTTTAGACCCAGCACGTCATTTTGTCTTCCAAAACGCAAACTGATTGCATCCGATGGAGATCCTGCCCACGGTGCTTCAAAGCTAATGTTCCCAGAACTACGTCCGATCCAACGATCAGGCTTTCTTATCTGATACAGTACTGTGGTGGTGAAGCTAAAGAAGCTATCGAAAGTTTCTTAATACTCGACCCCGGTAAAGGTTTTGAAGAAGCTTTGAACATTTTGCACAGACGCTTCAGACGGCCCCACATGATTGCTAGGACTCACATTATTGCTCTAACTGATGGCTCTAACATTAGGCCAATGATTTCGCATCTCTTTCTCGTTTAGCTGTGAAGCTGTCTTCATGCTACTTGACGTTGAAACAATTGAGATATGAATCCGATTCGAACGCGTCAAGAACAATCGGCTCTGTCACCAGGAGGCTCCCCAACTCTCTGCAATTCAAGTGGGCCGATCATGCCGCTAGAGTTATCCGCACTGAAAAAGAACCGAACTTCACTGATTTGACAAGTTCGTGGATAAGACCACAAACCTCGTTGATACTTACTTGTCCTTTGCCACACATCACGATGGACCACCGACCAGCACCGATAGCGACATAAGATTAAACCCTCGGGGATATGTCGCTTGCCTAAACACTGCGGCTTCATTAGAACGAAATTTCCCTAAATATGTTTCCTGTGAACAACGTCACTACTTAGATCAGTGCGATGATTTCCGAAAGCTCAACCTCAACGAACGTTTTGAATTCTGTCGCACCAATAGACTGTGTCAGCTCTGTCTTAAACCGAATCATGACCTATCAAGTTGCCGATCACGAAGGTGTTGTTGCTCGAACAATTGTAAGCTGCTGCACCACCCGCTACTCCACGCTGATCTAAGCAACTTCGGAACACCAAACACCGAAGGATCCACTTTTGCTCTCAGTCACGTCCAACTTGCTGTTGTATCGCTTGGCTTGTTGCCTGTGTTTGTTTTTGAGCCTGCTGGCACCATACGAACATTAGCCTTAATAGATAATGGATCAGATACTACATTGATTGATTCAACATTACTACAAGTTATCAGGGTTCAAGGGTCCGTGACGACACTTAACATTAGCACCGTTGCAGGCCGAGGCCAAGTGGAGTCCCAGTTGGTTAGTGTAACTGTTCGATCTATAGATGGTGATGAGGCGGTCCAATTAGATTCACTTAGGTCAGTCAGTCGTCTCCCTGGAAAGTTTGGAGCGGGAAACAGGAACAACGGTTTCTACAGATGGTTTCACCTCTCCGATCTACGGTTACCGGAGCTGGAAGGGAGGGTTTAGCTCTTGATTGGAAGCAATAACACATACCTACATTGGGCATTAGATCACATGCGCAAAGATCCTGTTGCTCGGTATGCTGTTAAAACCCCATTGGGCTGGATCACACTGGGACTGAACAAACAGCACGAGACTAAGGGGGATCAATCCACATCACTGATCGAACACGATAAACTCACTTCGCTGCGATACCACTGATCTTCATCAACTACGGGAGTAAATGTATGAAAGGGAATTTGACGGACTAGGTAGTCCACGACTAGCGATGTGTGAACAACGGATGCTCGTTAAAACTAATGGAAGCTTCTAAAAGAAGGGTTGGCGCCCACTACGAGATTGCATTACCATGGCAAACCGGGAGACATCGGTTACCAAATAACACGCAATTCGTACTGATGTGGCTTGTCACGTTGAAGAAACGGTTGTCGAAGTATGCCGAACTGTGCCAAGCTTACATCAAGGCCGAGGAAGAGTATGTAGTGAAAGAATATACTGAACTCGCTCCATTACAAGGACAGCAGATTAAAAGGGAAACCTAGTCCATACCCCACCACTCAGGTATCGCATCCACGTAAGCCCGGTAAAGTGCCAAGGGCCTTCGATTGTCAAGCTTCATACCGTGGAGTTTCCCTCATTCAACAACTTCTACCTGGTCCCGATATGTGCAACAGGCTAGTGGGGAAGGTTTAGCGGTTCAACTCCCACCCAATCACCGTCGCGTCCGACATTGAAGCGATGTTACATCAGGTCAGGGTTCCTGTTAAAGATCGGAATTGTTTGAGGTTCCTATGGTGGAAGAACGGCAATCTCTGTTCACCCCCTATTGAGTACCGTATGACTGTACATCCGTTTGGCGCTACTTCATCACCAAGCTGTGCTAACTGCGTTACGGCAAGCTATTGTTGAATCCCAAACAAAGGTTAAAGAAGTAGCAGATAACTGTTTTTATGTCGACGATTGTTTATTTAGTGTCGATTCTGTTCACGAAGCAACTGAACTCGTTAAACACCTCACACGTATTCTGTCCGACGGAGGATTTCATTTGACGAAATGGATCAGCAATCGAAAGGAGGTTATCGCGCATTTACCTGACAGCGAACTGAAGGCTCCCAAAATAAGACATTCGACTGAGGACGATTCTGTTACAAATGCCCTTGGTTTAAACTGGAACGTCACTCAGGACCACCTAACATTTAAACTGGAAGGTTTTAATAAAACGTTGTTCCGAAGAATCATCCTCTCGTTTGTAGCTTCAGTGTATGATCCTCTCGGCCTCATTGTTCCCGTGCTGCTTCGGACAAAATTACTGTTACCAAGTACCGTAAAAAGGAAGCTGGATTAGGATGAGCCTCTTTCCGCAGAGGATCAGCAAGCTTGGAACAAATGGTTATCAAACGCCAATAGTCTGAACAGCTTGTCCGTCGAACGTTGTATTAACCCATTCGGATGCAGTGTATCTTCTTTGCATTTGCATTGTTTTTCGGATGCGTCTGAGGCTAGTTACGCTGCTGCTCTATATTTGCGTTGCGAGGTTGATGAAGGCAACGTTAATAGTTTCCTGAGTATTAGTAAATCACGTG